ACTACAAGAAGAACAAAAGATTTAGTTGAACATTTAATCAATCGGTGTATCTAAATTGAACTAGACAAAAAGGATTTTTTTCATGAATTTATCACAATAACTCATTCTATTCTCCTGCATTTTGTATCCAGATTGAAACGTTACGTTGCAGGTTTTTTTTATACAAATTTGAAATGTACACTTTCTTAAATATGAATGATAATAATATTTTAATGTTTAAAGTAATAAAAAAATATATGCTGTGATTTAATAATGGTAATTTTTGCCAACATGCACAGCAATAAAAAGGTTCATTTTATAAGTAATAATTCTAGAATAAGACGTCAGAATAGTAATTACAAATATTAATTATTTTGTGTAAAACATTTATAAAACAGAATTTATTGTCTACTACAAAAAATCCACATGTTAAATTAAACAATGCATGTAAAAACTAAACAATACAATTTTTTTTTATAAAAACAAAATATTTTTAAGTTGTATGTATTGTTGAGGCATTTTTTTTAAAATTCCATTGTCACTCGTTAGGGGACATTTTAAACATAATCATTATAATTAACACGAAATGCTTCAATGGAAATAAAGCTTGTATTGTGTCGAAGGAGCTCCACCGAGGTCAAAAGACCTAAACTTAAAAATTTGAATTTTTAAATAGATCAAGCGATGCTCTTAAAATGGTAAGAATTGCATACGATAAATAAATTAAAATATGGAAATATACTCAGAACTAAATTGAAAATCGAAAAGTTTTGCAATTCTTAGCTTTTCGTGGGACAATTTTGCGAAATTCATTGTATTAATTCTGACAAATCGGGATAAGGGAGTGATTTGAAATCTTGCACATAAGTTATGTGTTCAGACCTATATCAAATTGTACACATATAAGATTTTATGCCCACATAAAATAATTTATGTCATTGGTCCGTCCCTATTCTCATTACTGTACAGAATATTACGGGTCAGGTTTTAGCCAAGTACGTCTTAGCCAATCGATATCATGTGATGTTAATTAACCAATGATTACATTAGATCTATCACAAAGAAATATTTTGGGGGAACAAATGTTTTAGTCTCGCTATGGCTATGTCAACTTAACCTCAGTTGAATCAAAATGAGTTGGTACTTTATTTACACCGGGGATTGAAATTTCACTGCTATCAGATCATTGGACTATCGATGAGACAAAAGTCAGCATAACAGTTACCTGGAATGCAATAATTATAAACTGCACACAGGACCTGGCAAACGCCCAATTGACAAGAGGCATTTTGCAAGCGCCTACTGAGAGATGCATTTGATAAACGAGAGAATACAATGTTGTTGATGGGTTTATAGGCAATGTCTACGTTTTCAATTAGCATCGAATTTCGAATTCTTAGAAAATTTATTTTCCAAAGTCATCCATTGAAAAAGAATGATCCCCCGAATTTAAAGTTAGATAGCTTCAAATAATTATGTTCGCTTTTTTTAAGTTGCTTTTATTAAGAATCAAGATTGCAGTCAAAGTTGAACATTGGTGTTGTTAAAATTAATATCAAAAACTTTTGTGTTTCTCTATTTAAATATCAAAAACATTTGTGTTTCTCTATTTAAATGCTAACATTTTTCTGTTATGAAAAAGGTAATGTTGAGCTACTTTGTGTAAGTTAGATGCTACAAATAGTCTTAGGTTTATAGAATACCATCTCAAAAACTTATATAATGTTCACATATTTTTCATTAAATGAACAAATTATTCTTACTTAATAACAGGAATTGATGACTTATTCAACAAATCAACACACATTACTGTATAAGTGAATAGAAATATAAGAATTTAGTTAATTTCTGATTAGATTATACGGTTTAATATCAAATATTTTCTCCACATGGTATTGATATTAGGTAATGTAAGAATAATCAGTATTTATTTTCATTTAAAGAGCCATGGAACTGACACAAGTCGTAAACTTTCAACGTATTACATTTTAGTTTCGATGTACCTTTTTCACAGGGCGCAAATAACCAGAAACAAAAAAGTAATTGTTGATTTTTTTATCGACGTTTTAATAGAATAATTCAATGATTGGTTGTTTTATATTACTTTAAGTGATAAGTAATTAACAAGTTGTATGAAATATCATTGTTGTTATAGAAGATTTATAATAAAAGCTTAAAACGAAATACAATTCAAAACATGTCTTTGTTTGTAATTTTTAGCAAAAGATTAGAAGTGCGGGCGAATTAAAGTATAAAATATATGCAATCTTATTGGCTGTAGTCAATTTTTACAGGACACATGCTAAAATATATATTTCAATTAAAACATTACGTTAAACAAACATCAAGTAACTAACATTTTGCTCCTCCAAAGCTCTCGAAACGAAGGAAATATGACTTTGTATGTAAATTATTTTACAAATTTTCATTCTTTTTTACTTTATTTGAGAAAACTATTGGGTATTGTGCAAACTTCTGTTTCTCACCTTCTTTAGATTCTTCGGAAGTTTCGTCAATATAATTTGGGTAGATTATGGTACCCGCGGTAGCTGTAGACACCGTCCCGCCACTTTTTGAAAGCGTATCATTGGGTGTAATACAAATAATATTATCCTTGCTATCCGAACGGGGGTACTGTCCGCATTCTAGTACAGGAGGACGCTTTTTAACGCTTTTTAAAATTTCCCGACATTCTTTAGTAACGGCCTCTTCACAATATGATTGGCATACTTTAAGCAGGCTGTTATATGTTGTACAAGGGGGGAAATAAATAAAACACAGTAATTTTTCAAGGCTTTTGGAGCAATTAGCATCAATTAACGGTTGAAAGTCTTGAAACTCAGCCTTTGCCTCTTCAATACTTTGATGCCCGAGCATATTTGGGAATGTTGAAATATTATAAAACGATTGAATAACCTCACAAACACCGTCCCTTCTTTCTAATGGAGTACATTTTGGCGTAAATCCATCCAAATAGGTTTCATCCGAATAATCGATGTCTGAAATCGCATTATCAAAAAACAGTACCAAAATGCACAATGACACAGGTTTTAAAACTAGATTTATTTGAAACATTTTAGCCAAATACTTAATATAATTTAAAACCCTAAATATCGCAATGATTTTCGTATCCAATGCTGTTATAATCCATTTACAATCCAGGTAAATCGCTCTCTGATATTTCCTAGGTATTCGCAGATTGTAACACAACCACCACATAAACGCGTTCAGTAAAACTAACTAACGGATCGAATAAAGAAATGCTCAAGACTTGCCCGATTATAACCAATATTGTTTGACAAATAATGATAAACGTATAAATCCCCTACATTTTAAAAATAAAGTTTGTAATGCTGATTATTTATCATGAAAAGTTCATGATGCTATCAGTCAACGGCATTTAATTATATAGAACATACGCTTATGAAAATTGCTTTCAAAATAATACAGGAATTACTGTAGAATCTGTATAAAATACAGCATTCTAAGTAGACATTTCTCATTTAAATTACATTTTAAAGGTCCATAATGCCACAGCAATGGTTTTATTATTTTTATTTCTCAAACACTTTTTTACTTCGGTGTACTTTTAAACTATCGAAAAAGTTACTCATTGGCCAATGACCAGACATATCTTGTTCATCTGTTGTTTTTGGCAATAAGTAGAGCTGTAGTGAGTTAGTATTTACTATGGAAGTCAAGCTGCTACTTTATTACATTTTGCTACTTTTATGACAATAATATTTCCCATCTATCGCTACTTTCTTCAGGTAACAAAACATTCATTTAACCATATTAAAACATTAAAATTCATGTTTCTTAAGAAGTAAAAACAAAATATTTATTTCGAGGCATAATGCGCATGTAAGCGAAATTTAGCATACTGTTACTGTTTATGTAATTTAAAATATAATATTCCTTAAAATACACTAAACAATATTTTGTAATTTTAGTAAATACATGTATTTTTAAAATCGAATATTTAATGGTTGTCAAAATTGTAAAATGGACCATCAAGAAAAATAAGTAATTTAAAAAAATAAAAAAATGGAGTAAACATTCATTCTATTCAGAAAATGAATCTATATTCAGAACTTAATAAATTGTAAATCCCACACCAAATGGCACATCTTTTCGTCCCTTAAAGTAAAAAAGAAAAACTATGTGTAGTCCTTTTAAGAATTAAGCAAATACACTCCAATGTACGGATTGCAGTTGCAATGTTAGACATGTGAATTATATGATAACAAACAAATCACCTGTTACATATAATTATAATGATAGCGTTCTTTTAAAAAACATGCTGAATACCTCCAAATGAATGTTCCATCTGTTAATTCGTTACGCAATAAATAAATAAGTTTTAATTTATTGTTGTTTTTTATTGTTGTTAATTAATAGATTAATCAATTACCATGATGCAGTTCATACTACCAAGTCGATATGTTATAAAATATCCTTCATTTTAAGACATTTTATGCCTATCAATTGTGTTTTGGTTTGACAATATCAAAATAAAATTTGGCTTTGTTTACAATTTCTTTTGCGTCACTTATCCTATATGTGTATTTACATGAAATAATTCAATTAAAATTTCTAACTTTTTATTAATGAATCTGAAATATTCAACGTAACAAAATCCGTGACAAAAAGGAAGTCAAAAATAAACTCTTGAATTGCATATTTTTGTTTTATTTGGTGCTGGTTGCATACTGTCAATTAGCATTTAAGATGACGCAGCGTGAGTTCGCACGTATATTGACAATGGCTCTTATGTACCATACGGATTTTATCTTTTATTTCATTTCAAAACAGAATACTTCTGAGTTATTTATTTTTTAACAATGATTAGCCAAATGTATTGGAAAAGTTGTACATTTGTTCATATAACTCGATATATTTTAAAAAGGGGAAATACACTCGTTCCCCTTTTTAATGCACTATTTTTACATTATTTTCAGCTAAAGTAATGGTATTGTTTTGTGAAAAGTAAAAGACAAACAGCTAAAGTAAACATCCAAATTTTATTTTTTGTTTCTTTTGCAAATGTTTTCGGGGGAACCGTTCCCCCGAAGAACAAAAGCCATGTACAGAATACAACATGTTTTGATAAATATAAAGCAATTTTTCAGTAATAAGAGATACATTATGCTTAAGGGGGAACCATTCCCTCATCGAAATAAAAAGTAAATTTCAAAACTTATCATAACATATTTTCTAAAGGGGAACCGTTCCCCCTTAACAAAATAGATATAACAATTTGATAGAATAAAATGCAGTAATATAGAAATTGAGAGCCATGTTACCGGTAAGAGGGAACCGTTCCCTCATCGAAATAAAAAATAAATTTCAAAACTTATCTATGACACATTTTCTAGAGTGGAACCGTTCCCCCTTAAAATATATATAACAATTTGATAGAATAAAATGCAATAATTTAGAAATTACGAACAAAGTTACAAGTAAGAGGGAACCGTTCCCTCATCGAAATAAAAGACAAATTTCAAAACTTAACTACGACACATTTTCTAAAGTGGAACCGTTCCCCCTTAACAAAATAGATATAACAATTTGATAGAATAAAATTCAATAATTCAGAAATTTAGAGCCGGGTTACCAGTAAGAGGGAACCGATCCCTCATCAAAATAAAACATAAATTTCAAAACTTATCACTTACCAATTTTCTAAAGTGGAACCGTTCCTTGTTAACAAAACAGATAAAACAATTTGATAGAATAAAATGCAGCTATTTAGAAATTTAGAGCAAGGTTACCGGTAGGAGGGAACCGTTCCCTCATAAAAATAAAAAATTAAGGGGGAACGGTTCCACATTAGAAAATGGGTAAGGGATAAGTTTTGAAATTTATTTTTTATTTTGATGAGGGAACGGTTCCCTCTTACGGGTAACCTTGGTCTAAATTTCTAAATTATTGCATTTTATTCTATCAAATTGTTATTTCTGTTTTGTTAAGGGGGAACGGTTCCACTTTAGAAAATGGGTAAGAGATAAGTTTTGAAATTTATTTTTTATTTCGATGAGGGAACGGTTCCCTCTTCCTTGTAACATGGCTCTGAATTTCTAAATTATTGCATTTTATTTTATCCAATTGTTATTTCTGTTAATTTGTTTAGGCGGAACGGTTCCACTTTAGAAAATGTGTTTTGAAGTTTAATTTTTTGATGGGGGAATGGTTCCCTTTTATCGGTTACATGGCTCTTATTTCTTAATTATTGCATTTTATTTGATCAAATTGTTATATCTATTTTTTAAGGGGGAATGGTTCCACTTTAGAGTATGTGTTAAAGATAAGATTTGAAATTTGCTTTTTATTTTGATGAGGGAATGGTTCCCCCGTAAGCATAATGTATCTCTTATTACTGAACAATTGCTTTTTATTTATCGAATCATGTTGTATTCTGTACATGGCTTTTGTTCTTCGGGGGAATGGTTCCCCCGAAAACATTTGCAAAAGAAACAAAAAATAAAATTTGGATGTTTACTTTAGCTGTTTGTCTTTTACTTTTCACAAAACAATACCATTACTTTAGCTGAAAATAATGTAAAAATAGTGCCTTAAAAAGGGGAACGAGTGTATTTCCCCTTTTTAAAATATATCGAGTTATATATAACAATTTTGGGAATAGAGATTTCCTTAAAAGTTAATTTGGTAGTCTAACATAGAATGTAACATTTTGAAAAACAGCTGTTACCCTACTTTATCAATAGAATATTCCATCAAACCAAAACATGATAGATACTTAATATTGTCAATTCTGGCGAAGTTAGGATATATCTTTCACAAAGCGTTAGGCTGTATGTCGTTCCTTTCACTATATTAACAAATATATGTCATAATAGTGTTAATGTGTTCCAGTGAAATCTTTTGATGTTTTGATAATATATTGTTTCACATTCCTCTTTATCCGCTGAGCTAACTGATCTAATAATGTACAATAAAGAAAAATCAAAAGAGTAGCAAGTAGTATTGAGTAAGCAAAGTATATAATATATATTAGTCAAACAGTTTTAAGACTAATATCATAATACACATGTACTTACACCAATAATAATAATGCTAATAATAATAATAATGCTAATAATAATAATAATAATAATAATAATAATAATAATAACTATTATAATAATAACTAATAATTAGCGTATTTATTATTATTATTAGTATTATTTAATTACAAGAATAATAATATTAAAACTTATAAATAAATAATATAAATTGATACTAAAAATTGTAAAATTATACTACTAGAAATAATAACTATAAGAAGAAGAAGAAAAGCAAATGGCGAGTTTAAATAGTGTAACTACAAGATGTATGACTAGAAATCAATGAAGAGGTAATAAGTATGTGGTATGCATCAAAATAGTATTGTTATGTAATCAAAAGAAATCAAAGTGCATATTTTTTTACAGAAATGGCATTTATGTATGATCTCGAGATATGAATAGCAAAAATGTATATGAGTTGTGAGAGCATTCATACAATCATTGTCAAGCCTGAAATGGTATTTTGCATTTGATCTATCCTCTTTCTTCAACGTGTAGTTAATGGTCTATCAGTGTTTTAGGCAATTAATGGTGAAAAGCTGTGGAATGTCCACATCATACATGAAAAGGAGCAACAAGCAAAATAAAGTTTGATTTGATATGATAGAAAGGTTTGGAAATCGCTCTTCAGTTGATTTCTATTATACAAAGTGAGGTGGAAGAATATGGCTATACTAGGCATTTGAATGTCTTTATTCCTAACCACATAAATTTGCCCGATCAATTAAAAAATGCGAAGATTTGCAATGATGGTTTAAAATTAGATTAACGAAATTAGAAATTTTTTTTAAAACAAAACAAAATCTTATCAAATTAATTTTCTGGCATCGAGAACATATTATGTGAATAATAAGTTAATATCATTTTTGACGTTCAATAACCCCTCTGAAAAGTTAATATAGTTTTATATGATAAGGCTGTTGCCATTTAAC